TCAAACCAACTAATTGAAACCAATTTTCCAACATAAATAACTCATTTTTTTCAGGATAATGTTACCGAAAATAAGAGTAGAAGAAAAACAAGTGCAGATTTAAATCCCAGATCTGTGCCATTTTGCATAATTGAGAGAGACTGAAAAAGCAACAACCGAATTATAGTCCAAGCAAACACATTTTGTGTTTGTAGTGGACGTTACTCATTGACTGCAAACCGTTAATCGGAGAATCTGCAGCATTATTACAAATAGTCGAACATTCGATAGCGTGGGACAATAACAATCCTATTAGACAGTATAATATACAATATACCACTGTACCACATGCATTATGCTGCAGTTATATGAGGTCCAATATCAGGAAATCCATAACTAAAAACAAGTGGAAAATTTGATAGAACCTAATTCAAATCCTATTCTTCAGATTTCCCCCTAGTAAGGACAAGATTCCACCGCCATGGACCCTCCCTTCTGGAATCACAAAACTGAAGCTCTTTGTGTTATCGCTGCTGCCAATGCTAACCTGACTGCTCCTTTCCTCTTGCTTCTGGGAACCTGCTGGTCTTGAGTAAGACGATGAGGCCTTCATCGACAAAGGAACCAATACCTGAGGAGGAATAAGCTGCTGTCTTTTGGCTGGCTTCTTGAATGAGTCGAAAGAATCTGAGATTACACTCACTCCAGATGATGAACAAGTGTTATCGAAGCTATTCCGTGCATTAGAGGTGGCAGACACCAAACCGTGAAAGAGTCCCGGCCCGATCATTCCTCCTCTGCTTGTCTTTTGCCCCAGAAGCAGGCTGCTGTGTGCAGCACAAAGCCCACTTTTTCCCCGAGCAAATTTTTCACATTTTCCCTTGCCCCAGTTGCACCTTTTTCCACCACCATGGGCCTTGCAGAAATCCGTACTTCCCTGAGCACTCTTTGTACAGTTTTCGAGCTTACAACGTTTGCCGCCTCCATGCCTGACACAGTAGTCAGTTTTTCCGCGCGCGCTCTTTGTACAGTCTGGAATGGCACACCTCTTTCCACCACCATGGGCAACACAGAAATTTGTACCTCCATGCACACTTTTTGGGCATATCCCACCACCATCAAAGAGGCAGCGCTTTCCGCCACCATGCCCTTTACAGAGAGGTGTACTCCCCTCGGCACCTTTGGTGCACCCTGCAAATATGCATCGCTTTCCACCACCATGTGCTTTGCAATACACTGTGCTCCCTTGCGCGCCCTTGGTACAACTCAGAAACTGACAGCGCCGACCACCACCATGGGAGATGCACAAGCCAATCTGTCCCTCAGCACTACGAGTGCACCCTTCCACCTTACACCTTTTCCCTCCACCATGTCTGATGCAAAGACCAGACTTGCCACGTGCTGCTTTGGTGCACCCTCCTGGATATCCACACCGTCTTCCACCGCCATGTGCAATGCAGTGATCCGTTGTCCCCTCTGCACTTTTAGTGCATCCCAGGTGCTGGCACCTCCTCCCTCCTCCATGGGATTTACAGTACACTGTACGGCTCTCGGACCCTTTGTTGCATCCAGGTTTCTGGCATCTCTCTCCACCGCCGTGGGCAATACAAAGACCTGTAGCCCCACGTGCTCCTTTTGTACATTCAACAAACTTGCATCTATTTGTATTGCTGGTTCTTTGATCTGAAGAGATTGCAGACTTTGAAAGCTCAGACACGGTACTTACAGAATAATTTGAAACAGCACAAGGTTGTGAACTAAACTGAGAAAGTTGGCAACCAGATTTAGCACTGAAATCTAAAAATTTATTTGTCGTCATTAAAATCTCAGTATTATCCATCCTTGGGGTCAAAACAAATCTTGACAAATAGCCACCCGATTTCTTGGCTGATGTAGAACCCTCGTCAACAACTGGGAATGCAAGTCTATTGTCATCTGGAGAGGCATCAGAAGTGTTCAGCGTAGAAGCTGAAAACTGAAGTACATTCGAAGATTCATCAGTGACTCCGGCCAGGCCTAGTTTTAGAATTGAATCATGCTCAGATAACAATCCTCGATCAAGCGCCAGTCCTTTGGCTTTGTTGCCTGCGGCAGTTGAATAATCATCAGAGAATGTGCTGGGCGGTGGACCCAACCCAAGCACTAACTTGCACCCATCATCTGGAGAATTTTTGTAACTGCCCTGACCTCCACTCTTAGTTTGACTGTTATAAAATATGGCAGTTTCATGTCTCCCATAGCCAAAGCAATCCAATCGCAAAGTGGTATCTCCAACACCACCATTACTTGTGAGCTCACCATTGAAAGTGGAAAACATGGTGTTTCTACTCAGATCAATCAAAACTCAATGCTATATGAACAGAAACCAGCAGAGAACTTCACATAATAATAGGAAGGTCCTTAAATCAAAATGAAACAGTAAAAGCAAAACCAAATGAGCCACATCCACCACTCACAAAACCTGATGTGTCTGACCTATCCATTAAATTAATTGTTCTGTGCGACAATAGATACAGTTCTGAGACCACTGCGTATGAAGAGAATATGATAATGTCTCTTAGAAATCGACGGCTAAAGCAATCCATATAGACATGCAATTCCTGCCTTCGCCATAGTCCTTAAAATTCATTCACCTGACAGAAAAGATAATACAAGTCTCTAAATTTCAATGCATATAGAAAAGAAGGATAATTGAGCCTCATACATAAATGCTTTCGAGGATCAGTTGATTCATATTTATAATTAAAATCAAGTCAGCAAGACAAAGAAAAACGGATTATAATTGCAATTCACAAGGATTAGACAGTCCAATAAATAAATCTTTGAGGTGGAGAAAATATCAAAACAAAAACATTCGAGAAGAAGTTTCTACAACAATAAATACGAGGAAGTCATCATATTGCAAAATATCAATACAATTATACAATTCATTTCATAGAGAGAATTTGCCTTTTAAGAATTATAGAGTGAGGATGATAACAAGCAATATATAAAAAGGAAATATAGGTCAAGATTAATATGTTGAATCACTCGCACACTTCCATAGCTCATATGCCAATAAAAACATTCAAAACTATTGACGGAACAAAATCTGCATTCTACTCAAAATCCGATAACTCTTTCTTCATTTTGGAGTCAAGGCCTTGAGTCCGTATCACTTGAATGTAACAAGTCAATCACTTATCAGAAAGAGGGAATAAGTGTACTTAAATATCAATAAATCCATCGGATTTCGATCGAGTAAAGCCATGAGCCAAGTGGATCAAAGCTGACGTGTTTTTACAGCCAAATCACACGGGTGCAAGCAGAAAATGAACACATCCCAGGAACAAAATAACTATAATTCAAACTCAGGTTGACTTTGTCTAAGTTCCACAGGAAATTCAGAAATAGAAATATGAGATCTGTACAAGTAATAAAACCCAACAATTTATATAATTTGTTATTTTTTCTTCTCTTTATTTCTGACCAAATATAGCCATATCACAATTAGCTAAAAATAAACAAACAAAAAGTAAAAATAAAAACTAAAATAAACTGCAACAATTGATTCAAAAGCTCCGAGTTATATCTCTGAACTCCAAGAACCCATAAATAAAAAAATTAAACTGCAACAATTGATTCAACAGCTCCGAGTTATATCTCTGAACTCCAAGAACCCATAAATAAAAACACCGGGATTCATTAAACGCAAACTCTGAAAATACCAATTTTTCTGGTAATTCCTCATAAAATGAAGAAAGTATATATTCAGACCAACATACACATTAACGCTAAGCACCCACATGAACTTAGTTGAGGGCAAAAACAATACTGTACAAGCACTTGACAGATTGAAATTGAAATAGAAAAAGTTAAAAAAAAAAAGAAGAAGAAGAATATTACCCTTTAAAGGAAATTTATGCAAAGATGGCAACTTTGCGAAAAGCCGCTGCCGAGCACACGAATTATACCACTCCAATCTAGAGAGAGAAACAAGGTAAGAAACTGGAAAAACAAAACTACAGGAAAGTGTAGAGAGAGAAGTATATTTAGGTTAATGCAGTTGCTAAATATAGCTTAAATTTGATAAGGGGCACCTCTTAATCTTGATTAATGGTGGCGCCACTATACCTAATTAAAGTAAATTACCAATAATGTCCTTTTGATGACACAACCGTTTATGGACGGTTTTAAGCAGAGCGACACTGATTTAGACAATACACACTTTTTTGTGAAAGCAATGGATATGTGGGTTGACGGTTTTACCCTAGGATAATTAAGTAACTGGGGTGTGCAATAAGGGTAATCTGGACTTCTAGTAGGATACGTTCTCGCGTGACATAGGCAATGGTCCAGATGGGGTACGAGAAATAAGTGGCGGAAGTGGAGTTGTCGTGGCGCGCCCTAATCACACCTAACTACTTTCTTTAAAAAATCTTATGGAATGTGGCGTTAGCCCCTAATGGCTTGATTGGCTTGGCTCGGATTGAATTTTAATAAATGTAGCTTAGTTATGCTGCCACTATAATTTTTATTCGATACACCACTTTTAAATTTTATAATCAAACTCCTCAATATTTGTTCATTATAGCAATTATTTCCTTAATTTTTTTCGTTGATCTTCAACCTTTCATTAATTAGTACGTCTCGTCCTTAGGAAAATTTTATATCAAAATATTTTATTTTCATACTTTAAAATGAGGGAAAAAAAATTCGCAGTTTTTATTTATTTACTTTTTAAAATAATGATGAAAAAATAAGTTGTTTTACGTCATTTCAACGAACTTTTAGACGTAAAAAATTGTTATCAAATACAAAATGTTTTAACTAATGGAAAGTTTAGAATAAGAATGACATGAAAAATCATTATGAACATAAGTGATATAACAAGCAAAGATTAAAAATCTTAAGTGCAATAAAATGTGGTGCAATAAATAAAAATTGTGGTGTGAATATAATTACCATGTAGCTTTTGTATAAATTGGTAAAAACATTGTATTGTGTTTTTTAATTCAAATAATTTTATTTACTTTTGAAGTAGGGAGGTTAGTGAGTGCTTCAATTCAAGTTTTTAAAAAATCGTATCAGATAGTAAGTGGAGGGACAAGATATGCATTTGCAAGTCATGCTGTAATAATTCCTCCTCCTTCGATGGATATGACAATTTTGTTGTATTACATCTAAGATTTTGTAGTGATTTTGAGGCTTCGAGCGGTGTTGACAAGTTTGAATCTTGGGACATGATATGCATTTGCCTCCTCCTTCAATGGATATGACAATTTTGTTGTATTTCATCTACTATTTTGTAGTGATTTTGAGGCTTGGAGTGGTGTTGACAAGTTTGAGTCTCGGGACATGATATGCAGTTGCAAGTCTTGCTGTAATAATACGTCCTCGATCCTTCAATGGATATGACAATTTTGTTGTATGAAACCTGATTTTGTAGTAATTTTGAGGCTTCGAGTGGTGTTGACAAGTTTGAGTCTTGGGATGGTGGCCAGCAATTCTGAGGAGAAGGGTAGGCGTGGGGTGGAAGGGTTAATTTTTTTTGCTTTTTAAAGTTAGCCTTATATATCACTTTAATGAACCTTTTGGATGGAAACTATCTTTAGGGATAAAGTTTGTTAAGGGTGAGGTTGCAAAGAAAAAAGTTGAAAAAGATCCCTAATTAAACTTGTACAAATGTGTCTCTAAACTTTTTCCATTAATGAGATTTTAACCTTTAAAATTCTATATTTCCATAATATAATTATACATGCATTTTAAAAAAGATCTTACTTTTTAACCATACATTCTCCAAATGATCACTATTTTATAATATATTTTACCCTAAAAATGGGAATCAAAGAGGGGCTAAATAAGGAGTCTCTCTAAATTTTAAAATATTCTCTATCATGCATAAGATGGTCTTCATTTCATAAATAAGGAGTCTCCGGGATGTTCTGTAACAAACGTCGACTGAAGAGGCACATATAAGTAGGCATTATCTTGTAGCCGCTTTTTTTTTTTTTTGTGTGTGGACGCCTCCTTGTTTTTATTTTAAAAACAATCATGCTACACATACATTATTTTTGATATTGTATCACGTGGTAAAATACAGTTGGACAGTTAAAAAGTAAAACACTTTTCGTCAGTAATTTTTTAATTTCAACCTCTATTTGACACACATTCTTTCAAAATAAATTATTTCAAAACTTATTTTCAATCACACATTTCTCAATAAAATAATTTTTTTACATTACATCAATAATTTTTCATTACTTTTTAATCATATATTTCCCATTATATCTCCATTTATAATATATTTTTCATCAATAATATCCATCAAACACACCTTCAAATTCAAAAGGATGTAAACTATGTTGTGAACCAAACAATGTACAAATAACATATTATTTTAAAAAAACAAATGAGCCGTCTGCTGAGGCTAAGCAGCTCGGCTGGGAAAGGCCAGGCGTATGTACGTATGCCTTGGAAATAGATCTGCTCCTATGTTTCCCAATTTGCTGCATCCACATAACATTTTATGGGCGACACGTGTCATATAGTCATTTGCAGAATCTTCTACCATGGATTTTGGAATCTACTGCATCCCTTGAAACACTAAGACCCCGTCTGATAGCACGCATTTTTTTGAACTTTTATAGTGTTTGATAGACAAAGTTTTCACGAGAAAATATTTTTCAACTTTTCAAATTTTCCACCTTTTTGAGGAAAATAAATGTTTGATATTTTGGTGGGTAAATATTTTTCAGGTTTTTTTTTATGCAATTGGAAAAAATTCTAAATACAATGATAAAAAAATTATACCAATCAAACAAAATTAATTACAATTCTCAATAAAACAATTTCTAAGCAAATCAATTCCCTGTAAAAAAATTTATTTTCCACATTTACAATCAAACGGATCCTAATTGGCCAATATTAACTGAAATAGAGATAAAACTCATCAAATAAATTAAATTGGATATTAAAATAAGTATCTAAAATAATTTTAACAGTATCTAATCGTATTTAATTCTAATATACCACAAAAAATCGATGACATTATGTGCAATTGATTCAATGCCTATGAAATGATATTAATAAATTTAATTTAAAATTTATACCTTATTCTCGAGTTGAAATCTGTAATTCATGTTTTAAGTGTCTTTTCACTAGACTTTTTAAAACACATCTCGACCACGACTCTCTTCCTCTCTCTTGAATTATTTCAATAAAATTACTTTAGTAAAAATAAAATGAATAGTCTGTGCTCGGATTTTAAAAGTCGACGGATCATGTGAAAATAGTCAATAAAAAAAAAAAAAGGGATACGCGGACAAAATCGGAGGA